TGTGTATTGTGTGCCTCTTTAGTCAATATGACTTTATTACTTCATTACATGATAGACAGTGCCCTGGGAATCAGCAATGAAACTGAGTCAATAAGTATGCCCTTAAGGAGATGGGTACTAATAAATACTGATAATAGTAACTATCTATATATGTACGTAGGTGCCAAGAGGCAGAAGAGGCTGTGAAGAAAAATAAAGCAAGCTGAAGGATTAAACCCTGGAGGTCATTGTGCCATCTTTTGTCTCATGTTAGGGATGGATTTTCCTTCTTAGGTGATATTTAGTCAAAGGCCAAGATAAAAATAAAATGTCTAGCTGGAGAAAATGTGTCACTAGCATGGGGAACAGAAAGTGTAAAGATTATGACATGAGACATATTTGGCAAGTCCAAAGATGAGAGAAAAGACCGTGGTGGCTTCAGGGCAGTGAGCCAGATACGAGTAGTAGGTGATACCAGGAAGAGTCTAGGTACCTATCCTTAGGCTGTGAACTTTGCTCAGGATCTAAGACCTTACTCTGAGTCCATGGGAAGCCTTTGGGCAGAGCATTGACATCACCAGATTCAGGTTGCCTTGGCTGCTGGGTGGTGGTGAAGGGGTGTACAGGATGAATAACGGAAGTTCCAGTGACATGCTGGATCCTCTACACCCATTGCACCAGGACCTACTGGGCTCACCACTTTCCAGAGGCTGCATTTTTGCTCACAATTAGCCACATTGCTAATTATGCACCACGACACACTGAGAAGCTGTGGCCTGGGGAGTCTTTATCACTAGGTTTAATTTCCTCCCTCGTGTCCTCCCTCTTTTCCATCCTTCCCTCCTCTCTGCCTTCATTCCTGCCTGCCCACCTTCCTTCATGTTTCTTGTTTGTCTTCTTCCTCCTGTGACTTCTTCCTTAATTTTTCATGTTCTTTCCTCTTCCTTCCCCTCCTCTCTCTTCCCCTCCCCTCCATCCACTCTCCCTTCCCTTTCCTTTCATTCCCTTTTCTGTTCCCTTCCCTTCCCCATGTTTCACAACATTAAATATCTAGTTACTGTTTATCATAAAATTATGTTAGAACGTGATTAAACTTCATTAGGAATCCTTTTTTTAAGATGGCACAGGCTCTGCTAAATGAGGAAGAAAGTGATTACGGAAATATTTCTTAACTAAATAATGCAGAAAGAGAATCAAACTTGGTTTCCAGGGTGTGAGCATTAAGTAAAGAAAGGAATGATGATCATTGATATTGATTGAAATATCTTTAAGAAGAGAGGTTTCGAGAGGAACATAAAGAGACTGATCTTGGGCATGTGCTAAGTTTTTCCAAGTGGAGATGCTGAGTGGGATGTTGGATGCATGAGTTTCACTTTCAGAAAAGAAGACTTGATTGGATTGCAAATCTCAATTAGGAAGAGTCTTTAAAGAGAATGGACTCTCCTTGTTCCCTATAATTGAAATGGGGGCCAAAGACATGCCAGGTTTTCAGGGTTCTCATGCAGAACAAGGAGGTACTGTCCGCACTGCCACGGGGTTTTCTTGAGATCAAGACAGATAGTCTTTTGTTGCTTTTTACTTTTAATTTAATTTTAATTTTACTTGGGGTTTCATTTGAGACTTGAGTTTCACATTGTAGCTCATGCTGACCTTGTTTTACTCTGAAGCCTAGGCTGAGAATGAGCTCATTGCAATTCTCCAACCTCAGCACCCAAGTGCTGGGGTTGTAGATTTAATGTGAGTCACTATGCCTGGATTCTTGATACATTATCCCTAAAAGGATTATGGCAAGTAAATAAGGTTTGCTGTAGAATAAAACCTCTCCTCGATCTTTCCCAGGTCTGGTTCATGTACATGCTTTCTGAAACTAACTAGCCCTAGTATCACTGTTCATAATGTGGTCCCAGAATTCAAAGACTGTGTATCAGAATTAAGTGGGTTCATTTTAGAATGTAGGCCAGGCACTCAAATACAAAGCATAGTAAATAACAAGAAGAGCCATGGTCCTGGGGTCATCATTCTAACTCATCGTTTAAATGATTCATTCCATTAATCTATATAAATGATTTGGTATTGTGTCAAAGTGCTTCAATATAAATTAAAATATTTTTCTATACATTTTAAAGAATATTCCAGCACAAAACAAGTTTAATGATTGTTCGTAGAGTTCATGTGTTTGAACTGCTCTGCTTATATTCTGGGTTGTTGGGATTAGAATAGATTTAATTTCAGTCAAATAGATTTTAATGGCATTTAAATAATAAAGCCAAATTTAACTGTTCTGCTTTCCTTCAAAAAATACAATTTCAGGATATACCATAACTTTAGGATAAACTACTCAAAACAGAAAAAAAAAAACACCTTAAATTGTGAATAATAAATTACAATGCACCTAAAGTATGAAGTATTTGTGATTTCCTATTTAGGGCACATGAGAAAATTGTGTTCCATTTCCCAGACCTCTTATGATTTAGATAGAGTGAGAAAAATGGTTGTGGCCAAGCAGCGTGGTACTGTAGCCAGAACATTTGGTTGCCAACGTTCCTTCTTATTTGAATCTTTTTCCATATTTAACATGGCAGCTCCCCTCTCTCCTGCTTGCCCAAGTTGCTATGATTAGTAGCAGTTCTATGCCAGCCCATAATGGGCATTTAGAGAGAGGGAGAAATACTCTTTTGTAACTTTAGCTTGTTGATTCCAGGGCATAATGCAAATAATCCTTCTAATCATTAGGTTCCCTGACAAAGTATATCACCTGACCCTGAGAGGTCCTCTTTCCATTAAGAAGGGAGATTTTTTTTCTCCATCAACAAATTAAGAATGTTTGATGATATTTTGACCATTGACAATAAAGAGTTGGGAGTTGTTTGTATTTTCTCACACAGTTCACTATCAGATTAGTTTAATAAATTAAAATAAAAGGCAAAAATAACAAAAAATGAAATTTTAAACCAATTGCTACAAGGGTAGAGATGATTCTTTTAATAATCATGTGCAGAACAAAATATCCAGACACAGTAATTTGGAGGAAGTTTCTATTCCCTGTCCTTTGAGGATTGTGGTCATGTGTCGTAGAAGTATGCTTCACTGCTGAAGAAATACAAAGGGTATTTCTTCTGGTAGTTAACATGTAAAGTGTAATCCTCCCAAATGAAGGGTTGCTAACAAATCAAAGAGATTCTAGACCTACAACTTCTAGGATGTTAGTCTTAGCCTAATGCTGCTATTTCTAACAGTTTGGTCACACAGTTAGAAAGGGATTGCCCCAGATTTCTACCCAATCTTCCCCTGCCTAATCAATGAATAATTACCTGTAATGATTGTTTGTGATTTACCGGGTTCCCACATACAGCTTCACAGGACAATATTAAGACATTGAAGTATAATTTTCAAATCAGGAAGTTGAAATCATAGCAGGCATAAAAAGTGAATCATTGATTAGTGCTCCGTAGATATTAACTTTTTCCAACATGCATATTAAAGATAAACTTGTACACTGAAGACTCTGCTTAAGGAGCTTTTGAAAGTAAATTGTAGCCACGAACAATCAATTAAGCATTTTGAGTTATTTCCCCCTGTGTCCTTTTCAGGATACAAAACCAATGAAGCTTATATCCTTTTATTCAATAAATACAAATGTATTTGTACTCGATTTTTAACAGTACAATATTTTATTATAAATATTTAATATTAGATTGCATCATTAAGAAGATCAAGAATTAATTGTACATGAAATACTGAGATGAATTGACTTGGGTCCCTGGAACTCATACAAAGGCAGAATAAGAAAATCAACTTCACAAACATAACCTTTGCCCTCCACACATGTGCTGTGAATATGTGCATACCTGCACTCACATATACACATCAGACAGGTTCATGCATATTCACGCAATAGCAATAAATTTAAAAATTTTAAAAATAAATTATTTATTCACTGAACAAGCATAATATGTGTATATATGCACATACATATAATTTAATGATTTACATAATTTTTAATAAAAAATTAGACCATATCCACTTGAAATGAAAACGTTGAAACATCGAGTTATAATTTTCCATTCTGCTTTTCTGTATTTTCATGGTCTGGAGACTAGCCTTACTTAATGTTTGAGTTTCCAAATATTATGCCAACTCTGGATAAATTAGGTCAACAGAGGGAAACATGCTTTCTACCGCTTACATTAACATTCTGCTGTCTGAAAAACTGCACTAGCCCATCAATCATCTTGTTAATATTTGCCACTTGGAACAGAGTTTAGATGTGATCTGTAAAACCCCCAAATCTTCACTTCATTTAAAATTATTCTACTCTGTGTCATGCATAAATAATTTTGGATGGATATGACATAAAATAAGAGTGGAAAGAAACGAGTTATCAAAAAAGCATATAAAATGATTTATTTTTAAAAGTTGAAAATGTACTTGAAAGAGTAGATTTAATGTTGCAATCTAACCATTAGATTTTCATATTATACTTACGAATTATGTTTTGAAAGTAGCATTTCATTAGTAAAACCTGTGCTTGAAAAAGATGTTCATATATTTATAGACATTGAACATCGATGGCAGAATTTTGTGCATTTGTCCACAGGCCAATAATTCATTTCAAAAATGTTTTTACCACTTAATAAACAATAATCATGGAACAGCAGTACAATTTGACTGCATAGAAACCTAACTATGGTGGACTTAATGTAATAGTTTAATTAATTTGTATTCTTATGAATTTTTATGTTTATGAGTCACATATTTTCAGATTTAAGAATAGTTTCAGTGTTTCAAATTGACTACTAGTAGTAAAGAACCTATTTGATATATTTTACATCTATATTTATATTCAGGGTGTTTCATCTGGCAGATGTTAAAAGTGAAATTTTTAACTCTATTTGGAACTTTATTTTAGTAAGCATGCTTGAGTTTTAAACCCTCTTTGAGAATAAATGTGAACAATTTAGATACTAGTCAGGAGTATTTTTAAGGTTGATAATATTTCAATTTATTTCTTTTCCTTTCAGGTACTGATTATTAAGGTGACATTATGGCAGCGTAACTCCAAAACAATGGTAAGTTCTGTAATTTAATGTTGCACTGTAATATACCGTATACCTTATTGGGTTGCTTTTCCTATTATAATTTCATAGGTCTGTATAGGATGTAAATTTTGAACCAGACCACTAGACTGTAAGGTATTTATGACAAGTCAAAACATTTTAACTCAACTTTTGTATATAATAGAGTTTTTGAATTTGGCAAGCTGCAGTGCAGTCCTCTTTTTAAAGAACGTCAATAAAAGTATTACTTTCCCATTCAATGTCCATTTTCCCTGAAAGATTTATTTTCCTTTTGGAATAAATGCTTTCAAATATAGTGGCAGTAGAGCAACAGCAACGTGTTGCTTCCCTGTACTGTGTTGAAAATAATAATATTCATGCTGGACTTAAGGATGGTCAGACAGAAGATCTATTAATTAAACTAAATAAAACTTGATGATAGCAGCCCTTTCTGTATTGATATTAGAAGACTCTTCTTAGGTGCAATAAGATGCTTACAACTAATCCTCACACACTACCATTGCTTTTTTGGAGTCATGACTATTTATATGCTTATTATTTGTAACAAAATTTCAAATTATCCGTAAGCTTACTTCTGGCACAGACAGATGAAAGATAGATAGATAGATAGATAGATAGATAGATAGATAGATAGATAGATAGATAGATGGATGGATAGATTAGACAGATGATAGATAGATAGATAGATAGATAGATGATTGTTATAGAGAGGGAGAGGTGGAGAGGGAGGGAGGGAGGGAGAGACAGACAGACAGACAGACACAGGAGAGATAGTATATCAGGTACTGTAGATGGTAAAAATATTGCAAATTTTTAATAGTTCTGGGAAATAAAATAAGGGTCTTATATGTGCTAGTAAGTACTCTACCAGTGATCTATATTCCTAGCCCCAATATTGAACATTTTCTTCTTAATAATTAAAATAATTTAAAAATGTGTGTTTTGGTTGAATTGGCCTCTACTTTTATAAAATGCTGTTTTACTTATATAAAATTATGTCCACTTTTTGACATTAAAATGCTCTTTTCATTCATGAAATTTGTTACCTAAATATATGCTTAATGACTTACTAAAAAAGAAAAACAACGTAAAATAAAAAACTAACAGTAAATTTAGATATATGGACATGTGTATTTGTGTGTATACTTATTACACAAAAGGTTATATGAATGGGTAATAACATATCATTAATTATTTTATAGGTATGTAATTGTACACTATAGCCAACATAATTGGGAATATTTTAAATGAATCATATAGGCATATATAAGTAAATTGCTTAAATATGAACAAATATTCAGATATATAGAGATATAATAATATATAAATGTATAAACAATCTTTGATAAAACTCAAAACAGCTTTGTGTAAAGAAAAAGTCATAACACAAGGCTGTTCCTCTTTTGGTCATCTTTATGCTGGGGAAGCTGGTGACAGAAGATGGCATGTGTCCCTTTGCATCAGTACCGTGGAACCCTCCTTTCTGTGTTCAGAAAACAAGATGCAAGTTCATACAACTCTTGTCACCATAAAAGACGTGCATTTGCCCATGTAGTTTTTTCTTGCTGATAGACACTAAATACAATGCATTTCAGCCTGGTTTTCATAATGGCCTTGCAAACTAATACATATATATATATATATATATATATATATATATATATATATATATATATACACATTTCATAATAATGATCTGTCTATTTCATGTCCTTCTGCCACTTAAAGTAGAAAAATGACAATGGACAGCAAACCTCATGGATGTTTTAATTCTATGTGTAATAGCCACAAGAAAATGACTGAAGACTGTAGTAAATGAGGGAGTTACGAATCCAGTTACTCAGGAGAGCATTTCTTCACTGCTGTGTGGTTCAGTGTGACTGATCTCTAAACACCTCTTTGATGCCTATAGTAGAGCACATGCTGCTTTGCTTTAGTGGGAAGTTGCATTCTCACACTTAGGAGAGAAAAAAAATCACATGACCATACCATCAGCAAAAAGGAATAAGCCAGAGAATCACCTCACCTGGCTCATGAGGGATTCTAGACTGATACTATGAGGACCATGATGATGTGTGAAATCAGAGCTAAAATACATGAATCTAAGGGATTACCCACAGGAACAAAATTCAAGGAAAATAAACATGATAAAATAATAAATAATATTGCTTAGTAGAGAGCATTTTCAAAAATACTGTTTAGATCAACATGTGATAAGAAAAGAACATACATTTAATATTAACATATTATCAATGCATTGTATTGTACATTCAGCCACTGCAAGTATTTAAAGGTATTATAGCAATATTTAGTCTTTTATGTATTTACATATTTCATAAAAACATGTTGATATTCTGTATCTATCATACTATGAGTTTATTTAGCCTTTATTTTCTTAAATTCTCCATACCAAAAAAAAAAAAAACCATGGGTTCTATAATCTTTCAGAATTTAAATTCTAACACAGTAGTATGACTATGGTAGATTGTGTGTTGATGAAGTTTTAAGAGTAAGCTTTAGAGGACTGTGTGTCTGGGGGGGTGGGGGTGGGGCATGTAGTTAGCTTTGAGTCTAAATCCAAAGTAAGAAATGTGGATCAAGCAGACTTAACTCCACTGAAGCATGAAGACAAAGTTGACAAAAATGAACCACTTTAAACCATCGATATTTATTAAACACTTACTCTAAACCAGGCCCTTTTCTAAACACTAAGGTTGTAGCAGTGAATACAAGACCAGGAAACAAGCTCTTCCAAATTAGTGGTAAGTGGAGAGAGAACAGATATTAAATGTGAATAATTAAACAAATATTTTTGACAAAGTTGAATGTGTGAAGAAAATAAACCAAGCTGGATAGGAGGCTAGGGGAAGAATTTTCAAATTAGTATTAGCTGAGAAGAGACCTTGAAACAGAATGAGTATATATTGTGATAGTTATCCTGAAAGGAACATTCCAGGCAGCAGGAAAAAGCAGGATCTGCTTGCAAGTAGAGAACAATGCAATTTATTTGAGCAAAAGTGGAGAGATCAGTAGACAAGGGGGGGCTCTGTTGGGTCATGTCAAAAAACTATTTTTCTTCTTTTGTGTTAAATTTATTCATTTTTGTTAGTGTGTGTGTGTGTGTGTGTGTGTGTGTGTGTGTGTGTGTGTGTGTGTATGTGTGTAAACATGTGTGAGCAAACTGGTATCGTGGTGAGCTTGTGGAAGTCATATGACCACTTGTAGGAACTGATTTTCTCCTCCTCCTTGTGGGATCAGAGGATCAAACTCAAGCCATGAGGCTTGGTGGCAAGAACCTTTACCTGCTGAGCCATTTTTCTGGTCCTGGAGTATTGAATCCTACCTAAAAGAGAGGCCATTTGAGGCATTTGATCAAAGATATGAATTGATTTACATAAAGGTTTCATTATGGTAGATGAAAGAGCCTGAAGCAAGATTGAGAGGTTATTGCAGTCTTTCAGAAGAATGAACATGTTTACAGTGGGTGCTTTTAAATAGAATGAACTACAGTGAATGATTTAAAATTTATTTAACTTTTAAAACAATATTTTTATTCTTTGAAAGTTTCACACACTTGCATAATGTATATTGCTCACATCAATCTGCCACTGTCTCTCTTCAGCTTCCTATATTGTACCCAACTGTCTGCTCCTCAATTTCATATTCTGCTTTTATTGTTATTGTTTTTAATAGTCCCTTGAGTTGAGTTAGTGCTGGTTTATATAAGCACAGGTGAGTGACCATTCACTAGGGCATAGACAACCTACCCACTGCCATATCCCTAAAGAATGATTCTCCCTCTTTTGGCAACCATCAACAAGACCCTTTCCTCATCCATGATAGAATTTTGACTGATTTGATCTTTGGCAGGTAACTAGAGTTGCGGTAAGTTGATGTGTGCAACAGTCATTTGTTGTTTTTATCTAAGTTGTTCTATTACTAGTAAAGACTCAAGTATCAGCTATTGGGATAAAAACCTGATAGATCAAAGCAGAGGAGTGACCAGCTATCCTTCTCTCCACACTTCCCAGATCAAAGAGACTGCAAAACCTCCAAGTCCCTCCCTACTACTTCCTGTGCATCTTCTCTATCTGTATTCTTGACTTCTCCATGGCTAATTCAGGTCAGCTAGTCTCTGGCTGTGTCCTCTGATTTAAGGTTAACTTTATTAACACAGTCTCAGGATGTCATTGTGCGATCAAATGTCCCTCAACAGCCATTTACAACTGAAGTAAAGTATGGAGTCTTTAGCACAGTATTGGCATGTGGCAAGCTCTACATAAGTGCTGATTTTAGCTTCTTCCTCTTCAGCATCATAACTATTGTTTTCTTTATCAAAGTTATAATAGAAGCCTTAGGAAAAATGCCAGCACCTTTAAGTGTTATATGAGCATTATTCTCCTTTTCTTGCTATAGTCATATATTAAGCACTTGATTTGAGAGAGCACCATACTTCAGAATTGTTTAAGGATAATATACATAATGCTTAATGCCCTAGTCACTGCAAAAATGTTACACAACTCATAGTTAAAAGCTATTTCTAGAACAATACAATAAGCCATAGTCATGCCTTGCCTCCTCTCATTTATCTCATCTTCAAATATGCCCATTTGACTTGTTTATTTTTCTTAGCATGGGTTGTCCTTGAACTTACATACGTTCAGTGTGCTGCTCTTTATTGTATATATGTTTAATGCTCAGTCATCATTGATACATAGGAAATACACACATACAAACTTATTCATCACAGTGGCTGTGGCCTTTGAAATTCATGTCTTAGAAATGAAAATAGATATTAAGATTTGTTTAAAGTAATGCAGTTATCTGTAGTTACTTTGAAAAAAATCAAGATTTTTGCAGGAAGTATTATGGACTGTACACCTACGTACACATATAAGTTCCTGTATGTTACTAAAAAGTTGCTTAGGCAATCACCATCATTAAATGCTAGGGTGGGTACAGAATAGGATTTGGAAACTAGAAACTGGTTT